ATGGCCATTTTTTATACCTCATAAATCCAGAGAGGCAAATTTTTGCAGAACATCACACAGCTGTTGGGCAGCAGAGAACTGCCTTTCCAGAGTTGTCCATGAAAATACAAAGCTGTCTTTATGATGTTTACTGTTTTCTCTCCTTGTTTTACTGTTCCCATTTATTTTTGGTTCCTGGTCCTTTAGGGGAGCTTAGACCTAAGGAATATTTGTTTTGAGGGGGAGGAATTTTTAAAATATCTTGAAGTTATCCTTCTGATGATTTTCTTTTTTGATGATTGTTTTCAAATCTTGCAAATCAGTTTTCCCCAGAGGCCAAATCATAATCTTAATTAATTTTATTTTAAAGGCACAAGCCATAAGAAGAAATGATGTACCAAAATATTCTAATTTAGGAAAATCCAGGTGGCAATTTCGTAATGGAGACCGCTGATGACACTTTTTATTGTTTCTTAAAAATGGTGTCAGACATTTTCTGAGATTGGTGATTTTCATAGGTTTGTGATTCCTATGAAAAATTTTTTAGGTGGATGATTCTCTACTGAGTTGTGTTGTAATTAGTTCTGTTTTTAAAAAACTTAATTATATTATTCATTCATTCAAATCATAAAAACCTGGGCTCTGGAGTCAGTTCTAATCTTGGCCCCATCATTTACTAACTTTGTAATTTTAAATAAGTTATTTAAGCTCCCTTTGCTCAATTTTCTTCTCTGTAAAAAACAGGAGGGTAATAATCACACGCATCTCATAGAATTGTAAAGAATAAAAGTCATAATTCATAAAAATTTCTTAGAATGGTGCCTAGCACAGAATAAGAATTCAAGAAATGTTAACTCTTTTTATTCTTTAATTATTCATTAGGGAGTTCATTTGTCTCTATTATGCTCAGACCTTGACCCTGTTGACCTGAAACAAATAGACTGCCAGATATTTTTGCAGCAAAGATGGGCTTATTCAGGATCAGCAGAGAATTACAATTCAGGGCAAGGCACATGCAAGTCCCCACACAGCAAGGGAAGGAGAACATTTTTATAGAGGGGGAAAGGAAGTTGGGAGGGTTACAGTAAGCATAGAGCCCATGGCTTTTCATTGGCCGAGCTGTTGCCAGAAAAGAAGAGTCTTTCCTCTCTCTGTTGGGCTCTGCTATCCTCACAGGGTGTGGGAGCTCTCCCAACTCTATTTTACAGAGGTTTCTGTTTATTAAGTTTTTACAGCCCCTTTCCCTTACTAGCTGTGTGACCTTGGGCAATTTGCTTTAACTCATAATGAGCATCTTAAATTTTTTTAAGGAATCTTTCTCAACACATCAGATTAACAATTTGAAATAGGAGAAAGAAAGCAAATAATAGGAAAAAAGGAAAATCAGTAGTTGAAATTCATTCAACTCCAAAAACAGTCTTTCATCTCAGATTTGAAAGAATTCTGCTTGTGCATTAATAAAGGTTTCCCTCCTGTCTGATTCAAGCTCATGATATAAATTACTTTCAGGTACTGCTTCTACAATGCTCACAATCAGAAAGAGGGGTTATACACGATGCATAGGCAGGGATATCCTGCCTGAAAGCAAATGTATCCTTTTGAAGAAGAATGAAGGAAACAGTCATGGCCAAGGCCAGCCACCAGAACTTTCTACCTGTGAGCATGAGTCACAGAGTGCTTAAACAGACAAGCAAGAACCTACCTGAACTTTTCAAATCCTGGTAATAAAGAAACATACTTTTGGTCAAAACTAATTTTTTCCATAGCCATCCACAAGTCTGAATTCACATACTCCTGCAAAACTCCAAATGCAAATGAACATTTCTAGAGCACGTCGACAGTTTCATGGCCAGCATGCTTGATTGGTCTGCTGTCCCGGGCTCTGAGTGAGTCATGGAGCCCAAGGGATCCATCTGCACTGGGGCTTTGTAGGTAGAGCAGATGGCGGTCCTGTTTCTACATGGCGGTTTGGGGATAACCGCTCCCTTCTTAATGGGGAATAAAAATAGATTTAGTTAAGTTCAGTAAAGGCTGCAATTAAACAATTTGAAGATCTTTAAACTATCCAATAACTGATCCTACTTTTCCAGTTTGTTCCCTCAAACTAAATTTGAGCTGTCAGACTGACACAGCTTATGTACATTGGATTATTGAAGACAGGAAGTAAAATCATTCCAAAGCATAGAGCTTAGACTTCACAGTCCTGAAGGCAAGCTAATGAGGAACTAGAGACTGCCTTTAACTTCTCAATAACTTCTGTCTTCAAAACAGTAATGCTAATTTAGAAATACCTCGTTCTGCTCTTTCTTTACATTATTATTTTTTAAATTTATTTATTTTTGGCTGCATTGGGTCTTTGTTGCTGCGCACGGGCTTTCTCTAGTTGCAGTGAGCGGGGGCTACTCTTTGTTGCAGTGCGCCGGCTTCTCATTGCAATGCCTTCTCTTGTTGAGGAGCATGGGCTCTAGGCACACAGGCTTCAGTAGTTGTGGTGCACGGGCTCAGTAGTTGTGGCTCGTGGGCTCCAGAGCTCAGGCTCAGTAGTTGTGGCACACGGGCTTAGTTGCTCTGCAGCATGTGGGATCTTCCTGGACCAGGGCTCAAACCCGTGTACCCTGCACTGGCAGATGGATTCTTAACCACTGCACCACCAGGGAAGCCCCTTTACATTATTGAGAATCCATTATTTTTAAAAGATTTAAGACATTAATTATAAAGGTGTTACATTTTTATCTATAAAAAAACTGTAAGTACTTGGTTGTTCAGATTTAACTTAATTGCTTAAGAATATTTTATGAGGTAAAAATAGAAGTTTAAAGTTCATACTTATTTGTTTACCAATACCAAATTCCTCTTCTGGTTACTCCCAGGGATCTTATTCTCACAGCTAAAGTTACTTAAACTCTAACTGAAGCCACAGCCCTGCCTTAGGCCCTATGATGCAGAGCTATTTTTAGTTTCCCCACTTTGCTGGTGAGGAAACTGAGGCAAGGAGATGGTAAGAAACTCACCCAGGATTGTCCAGCTCATGTGGAGCAGAGCTGGGATTTGAACTTGGATGCTCTGTTCCTGGAGCCTGTGCTCTTAACCACATGCTCTGGGTCTCCCCAATGCCTACCACAGAGAACAGACTCATTCTTTGTGTCCTCCTTTACCCAAGCAGGATGGAAAAAGAAGCAGCACACACAAGAGTGGCAAAACCCCCCACAAAAACAAGGAACAAAAAAATGCCACAGACTCTGTTGAATTCTAAAACATGAGCCCCCAAAATGTTTGGAACTGTAGCAGCCACCATAGCTGCCTTCTTCCCCACGACACTTTGAAGGAGGTGTGGCATTCCCTGGGTTGCATAAATGCCACTCCATTGTGAGACATTAGTCTCACTCCACTGTAGTTACATGTCATGTATAGGAATCAGAAGGGCTACATGATGAGCAAATTTTGACAAATCAACTCTCTCTCTCTTTTCTTAAAATGCTTGAGGGGGAAGGCAGTAAAAGCAAAGACAGAACATTATATTGGTTTCGTTAAGGTTTTGCTTTGTCTGGTGTAACATTCTTAATTATGAAGACAAAAAGTGTTTTGATGAAGTGTTTTTGATCAGGTGGATGAATAACTATCTTTAGTAGGTGGGTAATTCAGGTTTACATGCAGTGATATTAAATAGACACTAATGCTGTGGCCAAAGTCAAGTCTGCATAGCTTCCTCCACTTCTGCTGGTCCTCAGAATTCTTACTAAATTTTTCTTCTCAGGGCCCCTTCTTTCTCTCAACTGGAAAAATGCCCACTGGCATTTAATGAACCCCTGTACTCTCCACAACCTGGTTCATATCATGATGGCTTCATGTGGATCTCAACGTGCCAGCCCAGCCACAGCCCTCTTTGAATCAGTCTCCAGTTCCTAAGGCTGCTGGGTGCCCACGGTCCCCCTGAGCTCTAGCACTCTGCACAGCTTTCAAGTACTGAACTTGTCATGCATATGACTCGGTATTATCTCCACTGCTTCAGCTTAAGAGTTTGAGGACTTGCTTTGTAACACCCATATTGTACGTGTAGTACATCAAGCGTATTTGTGGACGATGTTAAATGAAGTCACCTCCCACAAAACAACTGCTTTAAAGCCCACCATTGCATTTGATGATATCCTCATCCCTAGGGAAGAAAGCACCGTCTCGGCTAGTGTGATTTGCGTCAGGAGTATTTCTTCTTAGGAATTGTGGCAGATATTGTTGTTTGCTTCCCAACATTCATTTTTCCTTGAGCAACGTACTCAGCTCTGGGCTATAACTCTCAGCTTCTCTTGAAGCTCTGAGATACAAGTGGAAATTGCTTTTCAGAAGTTCTAGGAAAGCTTCAAGAAAGCTATAAGGGATCTGGGAAGTAAGCTCTTTGAATTTTATTTTTTCCTGGAAAGTAAGTGTGACGGTTGGAGATCTAGCAGGCTTCATGGATCATAAAATAACTTTGAAGATGCTAAGACTTACTGAAAGAAAAAGCCTGGGTTTCTGATGATCATGGACAGACCAGCTCTAGACTTCCTACTTTTTTTTGTGAGAAAGAGATAAATTTTTACTTTACTTAAGGCATGACTTTACTTATTTGTTTGTTTGGGTTCAAATTTGCAGACGAATATATTTCTAACCAACAGAGAAGTTAAATGAATATCCAATTACATTTTAAGTGGCACGGAACAGCAAGAAGTTAATGGGAATTCAGTAATACTATCAGTACCTTTATAAAAGAAGGAAACATTGTTCCTCAAGTTTCTAGTCTAAATTAGGCTGGGATTGTTAACAACTGACAAGATAGGAATGCAACAAGTTGTCATGACCAATTCATTGGAAGATATGAGAGGCAGTTTCGTAATGTGTCAACTTGGCCAGGATGAGCTATATTTCTCAGATTCCCTTTTCTGTACATTTCCAGACAGGGTCGGCCACGAGAAAGAACCTTGTAGGATATGTGAGGGCAGAAGTGAAGCCATAGCCATTGGTGGTAACTTATACAACATATCACATACCTGCTAGTTCACCTCATCAACCGTGAAGCAGTGGCCAGGCCTGCAACTACTCCGCCTTTCTTTGGATCCTCTTTCAGTGCCTCTGAATCCTGGACCAGGTATGTGTGTTTAATTCCATGATGAAAGGCCTAGATTTCTGCAGATACCCACACCATCAAGGTCAGAAGCAACAGGAAATGACACAGGTTTCAGTTCTTCTTCGTGGATTCCAGGATGTGTTTATGGATTCCAGCTCTTTCTGGCTGTCTCTCACTTTATCTCCGTCTTCCCTTCCTGACTGGCTAATGAGCGAACCTCAAGCTGTAACATCAGACGCAAAGACAATAACCTTACAAAGATCACTTAACCAGCTCCCACAATTGTAGAGGGTCAAATCCCTGTAACAAATCCCTTCATGTTATGGGTTCCTCCAGTGGTTCTGTTTAACTGATTGAAGCTTGACTGATGCAATGATATCAATATCATTAGAATCAGCACATTTCCAAAACAGTTTGAAATTTAAGAGGAATAAATAAATGAAAGGTGGACCAATTAGGGATGAAATGCCAAAAATAAAATATAACTAGGCAGAAGCAGAAAAGGAGTCTTGTATGTCATTCTTGATCTCATTAATTAATTCAACAAATATTTATTGGGTGACACATAAATGCCAGACACTTTGCTATGTTCTAAATGAAAATAATAGGCAACAGATTTGGTCCTTGCCAGCCTGGTACCTGTTCTAGGAACTAGTGATACAGCAATGAACCTAACAAATACCCTTGTCCTCATGGAGTTTACATTCGAGTTGGCTGACGCAACCAATAAACATGTAAATAAATTAATTAAATATGCATATGTCAGATCATAATAAGTGAGACAGAAAAACCAAGTAGAGGTAATAAGCCCTTCATTGCATGGTGGGAAGTGGCAAGGATTTAGAGATAATGTGGGTAAAGTATCTGACCCACAGTAGACCTTTCATAAACTATAGTTATTGTTGTTGGCCTTATTAGAATTGTGGCATGAAGATAAAATATATATATATATATATATATATATATATATATATATATGGAATCTAAAAAATACAACAAACTAGTGAATATTACAAAAAGGAAGCAGACCCGCAGATATAAAGAACAAACTAGTGGTCACTGGCAGGGAGAGGGAAGGAAGGTGGGGCAAGATAGGGCTACGGGAGTAAGAGGTACAAACTATTAGGTAGAAAATAAGCTACAAGGATGTATTGTACAACACGGGAATATAGCCAATATTTTATAATAACTACAAATGGAGTATAACCTTTAAAAATTGCTAATCACTATATTATACACCTATAACTTATATAATATTGTACAGTAACTATATTTCAATTAAAAAAATAAAAAAAGAAGGGGGAAGATGTGATAAAAATCCATGGAATAGGAATCATTAGAACTCAGTAACTGATTACTCTTGATATCTAAGGGCAGACAGAGTAATGGGATTTGAATCCTGGCCTCCAGAATATGAGGAGTTTAAACAAAATAAAGAAATAGTCCTCCTATTGGTAAGATAGTGAAAGAAAAAACTTCATGAATTAGCAGAACTAAACATGATAAAGCAGTCTGGAATGTGGCAAGGAAGAGTGCATATGGGCATAGGGAGGAATGTGCGACCCTCCATAACATAAACCCAGGGTTCGTTGCCAAACCCGGATCTCTGAAGAGCCCTAACGAGAAATTTAAACAAGACGAAAACTGACTGGTTGAGTCACTTTTGTTTGGAGGGACCCAATTCCAAGCCTGTGTAACTTCATGGTCTTCTGATTCTTGGATGATGCTTCTGCTGGTACCTGGACTGGACCATGAAGGGAATCAGGAAGGCAGCCTGGCTGCTGGTGGGGCTCGGCTGAATGATGGACTGCTGGGGCTAATGGAACAACTGTGTGAGACTGGACATGGGCACCAAGCGTTGCACCTTCCTTGCAAGCTTCCCTGCAGCCACTGCACACTCCTTAGAAATCACCCCCATTTGCCCTTAATAAATAAATACACAAGGTAGAAGAAAGTGAGAAGATCTAATTACCATCTTTAAGACACTTATTTTTCCAATGAAGAAAACTGAGTAGTAGGCGCCATGTTGTTAAGAGAATTAAAGAAAATGTTTAGCAATTAATAAAACCAAATGAGATATGATGGGCTTCATTTCAGCAGGAGATATTATAATAATAATTACACTTTCAATAATTGTACAGAGCAGAAAGTCACTGATCATCCCCCTTGTGTGCTGAAAGTTGACTCTCACTGAAGGATTAGTGAGGGACTGAGGAGAGGGTGGGAAAGCAGTGACAGAAGAGACTGGGTAGAGGTGGGGGGTTCTGTCCCAAACTGTCACCATGACCACAGATGATGACAAAGGATATTGTCCGCTTAACTGTCTGAGTGAGATATCCTCAATTACACTCACATTTTTACTGAATTATGTGGAAACCAAATTCTTCAGCTTTCTAATGGAGGAAATATTGATGTTCTGGCAACATTTCCTTGCAGAAGACAAGCTATGAAAAGGTTAGGATGAAAACAAAGAATCTTTTGGTTTGGAGCACTGAGGAATCAAATTAGTAACTCAAATATTCAAAACAGAAGGCCCTGAGACATAGACAGAAGCTACTTTCATTGACCCTGGTATGTACTTGAAATGTCAAAAGTCCTGATGTTCAAATTGGGGGGAGAAATTATTGAAGACTAAACACATTTAAAACCTGGAAATGATTTGGAATTAAGGTTTTCAACAGGAGAGTCTACTAAGCTTAGATTAGGCCCCTTTCCTGAGTTAAAGGGAGAGGCTAAGCATAGTATTCTCTAGGATAGCCTTGCTTGACACCATGATCCTGGATTGCCTCCCCTAAAGCATTTATAGTACTCACATAATGCTCCTTGAGGGCAGTAACCACCTTTATTCAATAGCTTGTTCTTAGTGCCTAGTGCTGTGATTGGCTGAAAGTCATAAGAATGGTAAAATACTTTTGAGAATACTTGCTTTGTGCCAGGTATTGTTCTACACTCTTCTCCTGTATCCAACCATGTGGTCCTCATAACCATCCTAGGTAGGAGGTGTTATTATTACTCCCATTTTACAGATGCAGGGTATAGGCAGAGTGAGGCTACACAACTGGCTCAAAGTCATACAACTCATAAAGGGACGGTCAGAAATCTGTTTTCAGAAGCTTGTTGCATACCAGCATATCATCCAGTTTATGGAAATATGATCATCCTAGAAAAACATCTTTATAAGTATCTGTGAAATGCTCACTGGTGAGAGCAGTACTTAAAATGATCTCTCCTAACTTATCCTTTTTGAACTGAGACAATATTTGTACTATAAATGTTAAAAGGAGGGTTTTGGGACTCTCATGACAGAGTATTAGAATACCAGAAGAGATGTGAATTCTTACTATTGACTAAACATAAAATAGAGTTGCTTACAGATATGGCCGGATATGAAATATCTGTATGAAAGAACAAAAACTTCATGTATAATACTTCCTTTTAACTTCTGAATTTTAGTAACCATCGTGAATTCGTAGGAGCACCATTTAGTACTAAATTTTAAGATCAGAAAAGATAACATATGTAAAACTTTCTTCATCAAGATTCTGTCTTCATGACCATTACTACATTTGACCTTCACAACAGCCCTAGTGTAACGAAGACCAATGTTCCAATTTCATTTTATAAATGACAACCTTGAATGTTTGACTGACTTGCTGAAATCACAGAGAGTGCAAGGCAAAACAGGATGTTATCTGAAACCTGCAACTCTGAGTCTAAAATCCAATGCCATTTTTACCGCACTTCATTTTCTAATGGTTTGGAATATTTTAAAGACAACTGCAATACATTTGTTCAATATGAATGATGTAGAAATACCAACTGTCCCAGTTTGTCTGGGATCAAGGAGTTCTCTGGACACAGGACTTTCAGTGCTTAAATCTAGAAAGTCTCCAAAAAACTGGGACTACTGGGTTACCTTCTGTAAATCTAATTGTTTATATAATTCAAAAGAAACCAAAACAACAGTTGTTGATTTTAATGGCCATGTGTATTTATAGGGGAAAAAAAGCCATGGAAAGATTAGCATGCCATTCAGTGGGCTGTGACTAAAAGTGAATTAATAAATAAATGAGAATATTATTCACATTAAAAGCTGGAGGGAATAAATGTGGCAAATTGTGAATGCTCGTCTTTCGACTCATTAGAAACACATAATCATAAATTGGAGAAGTGACGTTTGAAATATTGTTCAGAGACAGATGGGATATTTTCTCCTGAGTATTTAGTGAGAGTCTGATGAAGTCTGGAACAAAAACACGGTTTTTCACAATTAAATTGAAAGTATAAATGGAATTTTTATAATTATATTGGTGTGAAGTTGGAGAATTAAACTTACAACTTCTTCAAAATATTAACAATAGCTAACACTGATTGAAAACGTACTCTTGTTCCAGGCATTGCTATAAATGTTTTACATTTAATCCTCAGCACAACTCTGTGAAGGAGATACTGTTCTTATCCCCATGTTATATATGGGGGACTGAGATACTGTTCTTATCCCCATGTTATATATGGGGGATTGAGGCATATGCAACATACCCAAGACCATGGCAAAACAGGAAGACAAAAACCGAGCCAAAAGGTTCCAGAGTCCACGTGTTTAACCTCTATGCTGCATCTAGTAAGGGTGTGGCAGAAAGTGGGGTACTTCTGTTTATTTATAGCTCTCCCTTTGAAATCATTTCCAAATATGTAGGAAGTAAAGTAGTTGGGAAGAGCCACAAGGAGGAGGTGTTATTGGAGGGTTAGAGATGGAGTTTGGGAAGTAATATATTGGTGCCAATAGACTGGTGCCTTATTAATGGGAATCTTAGAGGCATTATTCTCCCCTTCTTGTGTTCTCATTAAGCAGAATCTTCCCTTGGGTGGCATTCTCTGAGCTTCCCTAACTCTTGTGTTTTTAGAATACCTAAATAAGATTAGAAGAAAAGGAAACGTAAAATCCACGTGGCAGTTCTACCCCCCACCCAGTTTTCCTGAGGAAATCTGTAGTTCATTCTGTACTTTATTCTTTTTTAAATGGAATTTTGTTGAGGTAGATTTTCAATAATTGGAATAAGGGAGGGGATTAATGGTTAATTTATTATAGCAATAGCTACATTCCTGTAGAAATGTATGATATTCAAGATGATGTTTGATATTCGAGATGAAGGGGAGAAAATGTTCTCTGCCTTTGTGACTATATTGAGACATAGGTGTAAATTTTTTTCTATAGAGTGATAT